ACTATCACCCAAATCACAATTTAAAAAAAAAAAAAAATAGTGTATTAAAGTTATTACTACTGTGGAGTTATCTGTTTTCAATTCTGTTAAAGTTTGATTTATGTAATTTGGGGCTATTTAATTAGGTGCATAGGTACTTATTATGGTAATGTCCTCTTGTTTGATTGACCCTTTAATCATTATATGATGTCTTTCCTTGTCTCTTTTGCTGTTTGTTGCCTTAAATTCCATTTTATCAGAAATTAATATCATTACTCCTATTTTGATTGCCATTTGTTTGATATATTTTCCAGCCTTTGATTTTTAGTCTGTTTTTGTCTTCATATCTAAGGTGTATTTTTAGTAGACAGCATATTGATGGGTCATGGTCTGGTGGCATAGTGCCTAAGGCAAGTGACTGCTAACTCGAAGGCTGGTGGTTCAAACCCACAAGCTGCTCCTCGGAAGGCAGATTAGGTGATACACTTCTATAATGAAACCCAAGAAGGGTCACTATGAGTCAGATCCGACTCGACTGTAGTGTGTTGCGTTGCATTCTATTGTTTTCTTATACGTTCTGCTATTCTCTGTTGATTGGTGCATTTAATCCATTTCTTTCAGTGTAATTATTGATAGGTATGAGTATATTACTGGGTGTCATTTTGTTGTGTGTTTTCTTGTGGTACTGCTGATTTCTTTGTTCCATATAATTTTCTGTGCTGAGCCTATTTAGTTTATGGGTTTTCTTAGTTTCTTTGTTGCTATTGTTTTAGCATTTACTAAGTATTGGTGAAATTTCCTCTTTTTTTATTTTGATGAGAAGGTATGCTGGTTACCTAGTACCACTCAACAGAAATATACCGCAAATGGGATGGCCTTCACAAATAGGAGTTTATACTCTTACAGTTTGGAGACTTTAAGTCCAAGTTCAAAGTGCCAGGCTCTAGGGGCTTGGTGAAAGCTCCTCAGCCTTGGGCTTCAGCTCTGCGTCCAGCTCCCAGCCCACTGAAGCTAGAGGCTTTTCTTCACTTAGACAGCTTCTAGATGCTGAGGCTGCCAAGCCCAAGGTTGACAAGTCAAAAGGCATAGTTCCGATGTTACCAAACCGTATGGTAGGCCATTAAAAATTCAAGTCCATTGTAGGTCTCCAGGTCGGCAGAGCATGGCAGGCTGCTGAACGACGACACGGCTACGTGCAGGTTCCAAGCATGCTATAAGCTGGAGACTATCCCCAAGGCTTCTCCTTATATACAGGAAGCAGACCACATCCCAAAGGCAGCTAGCTACTCAGCTGCTTGTGGTAGATCCCACCGTGGAGCTGATTGCCAGTCTCATTACAGGGAATAACTACTACCAACTGCCCAGCCAGTCAACTAGGCCAAACCAAGTTGACAAATCAAATTTAATTACCACAGAAGGTTTGTTAATTTACTTTGCAGTTATTCAGTAATTATGTTCTTCTCTAGTTTAAAATTGTCCATTCTATCATGAAATTGTCTTGACTGCCTCTTCATTTGAAAGTACTATAACTATACGATTTATTTCCTCTGTTTTGCATAGTACTTGTTCTCATTTATAAATTGTTATCTCTGACTTCCTGTTTTCAGTTTGTAAGTTTATTTTACTTTGGATACTTTTACATCTAGGTTGGTTTCAGGGTATCGTTTCATATGTTAATCTCAGGTTCTTGTCTGCCCTGTTGGGTCTCTGTCCAAAGATGCCCTGCAGCAGCACTTCTTGTAGGGTTGTTCTGGTTTTTACAAATTCCCTTAATTTCTGTTTACCTGAAAATTTTGCCATCCTATTTGAGGGACAGTTTTATCAGATGTGTAAGTCTTGTTTGCCAATATTTTTCTTTCAGGGTGTATATATATATATATATATATATCATTCGCTTGCCTTCTTGTCTACATGGTTTCTGCCAAGAAATCAGAGCTGTTTCTTACTGGCTATTGTTCTTTGTATTTCCTGAGATGCTTTCAGGATTCTTTGTCTTTGGTTTTGGAAAGATTGATTATGGTATGTTTTGAAGATTTTCTTCTGTATTCTCTCCTATTTGAGGTTGACTGAGCTTCTTGAATGCAAATTTTCTTGTCTTTCATCATATTAGGGAAATTTTCTTTGAACCAGTGTTCAAAAGTTTTCTTCCTTTTTTTGGAGGGGCGGGGTGTCTCTTCCTGTTCTAGCATTCTTATCATGAATCATTTATTCCTCTTGATGATGTCTCACATAAAATTTTGTCTTGCTTTATTTATTTATGTTCTTTTTTCTTTAGATACACTCTTTTTGAAGTGCCCATAGGGTTTCTATAGAAGTTCTGATAGTGTAGTGCCTAAGGCACTTGACTGCTAACCAGAAGGCTGGTGGTTCAAACCCACCAGCCACTCCTCAGAAGGAAAGTTGGGCAATCTGCTTCCGTAGTGATACCACCTCAGAAACCCAAGGAGGGGTCACTGTGAGTCGGGTCGGACTCGACGGCATGTAACAAGAACAACATAGGGTTTGTGTAGGGTTACTATGAGTTGGAATTGATTCAGTGACAACAGACATTCAAATTTCTTGCACGTTTTTTTCCATTGTATTTTCTTTCAGTTTTTGAACTTGTTTGGATATTCTGTATAAATACCCTTTGTTTGTTATATCAAGTAAATACATTTTGTCTATTGATGACTTTTTACTTAATATCATTTTTTAAAGAACAGAATTTTATTATTATCTAATTTATCCAGTCTTTTTCTTTATAACTAGCACTTTTTTCTATTTTAAAAATCTGAGTAATCATGGTGATATACTCCCATGGTATCTTCTAGAAGGCTTATTGTTTGATTTCATGTTTAAAATTACAGTTCAACTCACATAGACTTTTGTGTGTGGTATAAAAAAGTAGACATTTCTTCTTTGTATTTTTTTCCTGTTCTTGATATTTAATTAACCCTGATCGTTTATTAAAAGACCTGTTTTCCCTAAGAGTTATAACAGAATCATTTTGCCAAGATCTAACAGTGACATAAAAAGTAAAATCTTCAAGGAATGAATGGGTGTTTTATGTTGTTGTTGTTGTTGTTTGCCGTCGAGTCGGCCCCGACTCATAGCGACCCCTCCTTGGGTTTCCGAGGCAGTATCACTATGGAAGTAGGATTGCCCAACCTTGCTTCCGAGGAGTGTGTTTTATAGGTAACTGCAATAAATTGTTATGAGGTAAATTCATTTTCTCCTGGCATTGATTAAATTATGACTTGTAGAACAATTAGAAGTGAGTAGGAATTACTAGAAATAAACAAAAAAGTAGTTTTAAAATATTATTTTGATGCATATATTTTAATTTTATAAAAGGGAAAAAGAAATTAAACCATGTACTATCTATCCTAGAAACCACTGTATACAATTGAATTGAAATTTGACTATGATATTCTTTAAACAACTTGTTACTCTTAATTATGTAACAGAGCTTCATGAATAGTTTATTGTAAGGATGCATGTTGTAATTGTTTAATGATGGTAAAAATATATATAATAAAGCATTTCCCTTTTTTTTTTAACTGATTCAGTGATGTTGGTTACGTGCATGTTATGCCACCTACACTCCATTTCCATTATTAAGAGAAACTCAGTGGCCCCTCCCTCTCACTTCTGGTAACCACTAATAAGCTTTGGTCTGTGTGCATTTGCCCATGTTATATAAGTGGGGTCATATAATATTTACCCTTTGGTGATTTTTTTCAGTAAGCATTAGGTTTTCAAGATTTATTCATATTGTACTATCTATCAGAACTTCATTTCCTTTATGACTGAGTAATACTCCATATTACGCATATATCAAATTTTGTTAATCCATTCATCTGTCAGTGGACTTATGGGTTCCTTCCCCCTTTTGGCTTTTGTTCACTACAGTCAACAGTGATGTACACATTTCTGTTTGTGGTCTTGCTTTCACTTCCTTTTGGTATATACTTAGGAATGGGATTGCTGGGTCATATAGTATCTATGTTTAACTTTCTGAGGAGCTGCCAAGCTGTTTTCTACAGCAGCTCTGACTTTTTTGCATTCTCATCAGCAGTGGACAAGGTTCTAATTTTTCCACATCCTTACCAACATCTGTTATTTTCCATTTTTTTTTTTTAATCATAGCCATTCTAGTAGGAGTTTTTTATTTGCATCTCCCTACCCACCAGCCATTCCTCAGAAGAAAGTTTGGGTAATCTAGTTCCATAGTGATACCACCTTGAAAACCCAAGGAGGGATGTCACTATGAGTCAGGTCCGACTCAATGGCACATAACAACAACAACAACAATGACTAATGAGGAGCTCTGGTGGTATAGTGCTTAAGGCATTTGACTGCTGACCAGAAGGCTGGCAGTTCAAACCCACCAGACACTCCTCGGAAGGGAGGTTGAGCAATCTACTTCCATAGTGATATCGCCTCGGAAACCCAAGGAGGGGTCGCTATGAGTTGGGTCCGACTTGATGGCAGTGTGTTTGGTTTGTTTAATGACTAATGAAACATCCCTGGGTAGCAGAAATGGTTAAGTACTAGGCTACTAACCAAAAGATTGGCAGTTTAAAACCACCAAGAGGTGCCTTGGAAGAAGGGCTTGGTGATCTACTTTCAAAAGATGACAGTCATTGAAAATCCTACAGAGAACAGTTCTACTCTAAAACATATGGGACCAGTATAAGTCAGAATCAACTCAAGGGCAACTGGTTTGGATTTTTGATTTAATGATATCAAGTAGTTTTTCATGTGCTTTTTGGCCATTTTTATATCCTCTTTGGTGAAATGTTTATTCAGTTACTTTGCCTGTTCTTGGCTGGGGTATTTATCTTTATGCTGTTAAGTTGTAATGTTCTTTATATATTCTGGATATTAAACCCCTTTCCAATTGTTTCCCAGAGTTTTTCTTCCAGTCTGTAGTCTGTCTATTCAGGATGTAATTTTTAAAGTTTGCCCTCAATGCTATCATAGGTAAAATTCACATCACTTTGAGAACCTATCAAAATTTTGCACATTTTGTTTCACAGAGATTTCTCCTGAAGGGGAAGTATACAAACCGTTAATCATTGGAGAAGAAAAAGTACAATATGTTTCACTTCAAATGAACCCCTCAGCTACTGTTGATTCTCCTCCTCTTGAAATAAAAAGTGAAAAGTTTAAGGAGGCATCTCCACAGATATTGTTGAAACCAGAAGGAAATTTGGATGGTATGTACTAATGGGTCAACATGAGGTATATTAGACTTTAAAAGCTTAAATTTCTTCTTTATAAACAGACCTCTATAAAAATTAATCAAATTGTGTATATATCTCAGGTTAAATATCTTTATGCTTTTAGTAACTGCCCTTGTTTTCTGCTCTAGCAGAAAAAATCATTTGCAAAAAAAGTTTTCTGCTTTTTTATGTTCTTGCATAAAATATCATCCCCAAAATTTAGTATTAGAACACCAACCAATTTGTTACATCTTGTGATTTTGTGTCATGAATTGAGTCAAGTCATAGGTAATGTGATTTTTTTCATTATGTGTTTTCATCTGGGGTCACTTGATGATATTCAGCAGGTACATAGGCTAGTCTGAAGGGTGCAAGATGAGTTCACACCAATGCTTGACATCCAGGCAGTGTCAGGCAAGCCTTCCCAGCTAGATCCCTCTTCTCCTTCACTTTAGCCTTTCCACTTTATCTTTCCAGGACAGGTAAACTTCTTTCATAATGGCTCAGGCTTCCAGACAACAAGGTGGAAGCTGCCAATTCTCTTAAAAACTAGGCTTGTAACTGGCACAGCATTACTTCTACCATACTCTATTGTTAAAGGCAATCATGATGCCAACCTAAATTCAAGAGGAATGAAAAAGAGCCCAACTCTGTTGTTTTTGTTAGATGCTGTTGAGTTGGTTACAACTCATAGCAACCCTACTATGTACAACAGAATGAAACATTGCCCAGTTCTGCCCTATCCTCACAAATCATTGCTCTACTTGAGCCCATCATTGCATCCACTGTGTCAATCCATCTCATTGAGGATCTTCCCCCTTTTCACTGACCCTCTACTTTACCAAACATGATATCCTTCTCCTGGCATTGGTCCCTTCTGACAATGTGACAAAATTTGAGAGATAAGATCAGGCCATTCATGCTTCTGAGGAGCATTCTGCTTATAGTTCCTCCAAGACTGATTTTTCCATTCTTCTAGCAGTCCATGGTAGATTCGATGTTCTTTGCCAACACCACAGTTTAAATGTATCAGTTCTTCTGCATTCTCCCTTATTCATTGTCCACCTCTCACATGCATGTGAAGCTACTGAACATACCATGGCTTGGGTGAGGTACGCCTTGTTCAAAGTGACGTCTTTGCTCTAAAACAGTCTAAAAGGTATTATGCAGTGCATTTTTCCCAATGCACTATGTCTGGCTGTGGTATTTTCAGTATTCTTCCCAACACCATAATTCAAAGGCATCAACTCTTCTGTGGTCTTCCTTACTCTTTGTCTAGTTTTCACATACATATGAGGTGACTGAAAATACCATGGCTTGGGTTGTTGTTGTTGTTATGTGCTGTCGAGTCAGACCTGACTCATAGCGACCCCTCCATGGGTTTCTGAGGCAGTATCACTGCAGAAGTAGATTGCCCAACCTTCCTTCCAAGGAGTGGCTGGTGGGTTTGAACCTCCAGCCTTCTGGTTAGCAGTCAAGTGCCTTAGGCACTATGCTACTAGAGCTCCCATGGCTTGGGTTAGATGCACCTTAGTCATGAAAGTGAAATCTTTATTTCTTAACACTTTAAAGAGGTCTTTTGCAGAAGATTTGCCCAGTGCAATACATTGTCTGATTTCTTGACTGCTGCTTCCATGGGCGTTGATCATGGATAAAATGAAATCCCTAACAACTTCAGTGTTTTCTCCATTTATTATGATGTTGCCATTTGGTCCAGTTGTGAGAATCTTTGTTTTCTTTAGGTTGAGCTGTAATCCATACTGAAGGCTGTAGTTATTGATCTTCATCAGTAAGTGCTTCATCTTCATTTTCAGCAAGCAAAGTTGTGTCAACTGCATATCACAAGTACTAATGAGTCTTCCGCCAATCCTGATGTTGCATTCTTCTTCATATAGTCCAGCTTCTTGGATTATTTGTTCAGCATGCAGATTGAAGAAGTATGGTGAAAAGATACAACCCTGATGGCACCCTTCCTGATTTTAGACCATGCAGTATCCCCTTGTTCTGTTCAAACAGCTGCCTCTTGGTCGATGTTCAGGTTCCTCATGAACACAATTAAGTGTTCTGGAATTCTCATTCTTTGTAATGTTATCCATAATTAGTATGATCCTTATAGTGGAAACCCTTTGAATAGTCAGCAAAGCACAGGTAGACATGTTTCTGATGTTATTTGCTTTCAGCCAAGATCTATCTAACATGAGCAGTGATATTCCTCTTTCCATGCTCTCTTATAAATCCCACTCGAATTTCTGGAAGTTCCCTATTGATGTACTGCTGCAACCATTTTAGAATTATCTTCAGCAGAATTTTAGTTGCATGTGACATTAATGATGTAGTTCAATAATTTATGTATTCTTTTGGGTGACTTTTCTTTGGAATGGACAGAAATATGAATCTTTCTCTGTCAGTTGGCCATATAGCTGTCTTCCAAATTTCTTGGCATAAACAAGTGAGCACCTCCAGTGCTGCATTTATTTGTTGAAACATCTCAATGAATATTTGGTTGATTTTTGGAGCCTTATTTTTCACTAATGTCTCAGTGCACCTTGGACTTCCTCCTTCAGTATCATCAGTTCTTGATCATATACTGCCTCCTGAAATGGTTGACCTTTCACCAGTTCTTTTTGGTGCAATGAGTCTGTGTATTCCTTCTGTCTTCTTTTAATGCTTCCTGCTTCGTTCAATATTTTGCCCATAGAATCTTTCAATATCATAATTTTAGGCTTGATTTTTTTCCTTCAATTCTTTCAGCTTAAGAAGTGCCAAGCAAGTTCTTTGGCTTTGATTTTTCAACTCCAAATCTTTGCACATTTCATCATAGAACTTTATTTTGACCTCTTGAACCCACTGAAATTTTTTGTTCCGCTTTTTTACTTCATCATTTCTGCCATTCATTTTAGCTACTCTACTTTTAAGAGCAAGTTTCAGAGTTTTCTTCTGACATCCATTTTGCTCTTTTATTTCTTTCCTGTCTTTTTATTGACCTTTTGCTTTCTTCGTGTATGTTGTCCTTGATATTATCACAGAACTGATCTGGTCTTTGGTCACTTTTGTTCTGTGCATCTTATCTGTTCTTTAGATGGTCTCTGAATTCTTGTGGAATATACTCAAGGTCATTTTTAGCTTTCATGAACTTGTTTTAATTGTCTTCAGCTTCAGCTTTAACTTGCATATGAGCAGTTAATGGTGTGATCCACAGTCGGCCCCTGGCCTTGTTCTGACTGATGATATTGATCTTTTCCATCTTCTCTTTCCACAGAGGTAGTTGATGTGATTCCTATGTATTCTGTCTGGCGAGGTCCACACATATAGTTGCTGTTTATGATGTTTAAAAAAGGTATTTGCCCTGAACGAGTCATTGTTCATACAAAATTGTATCATGTGATGACTAGCATCATTTCTATCACCAAGGCCGTATTTTCTAACTACCAATGCTACTGCTTTGTTTCCATCTTTCACTTTCCAATCACCAGTAGTTATCAGTATGCCTTAACTGCATATTTGGTCAATTTTAGACAGAAGTAATGCATTAAAATCTTTAGTTTCTTTATCTTTATCTTTAGTGGTTGGTGGTAAAATTTGAATACTAGTAGTATTGACTGGTGTTCATTGTAGGCATATGGATATTATCCTATTATCCTATCACTGACAGCATTGTACTTCAGGGTGAATCTAGAAATGTTCTTTTTGACAATGAATACAATGCCATTCCTCTTTTTTATTCCTGGTGTAGCTTACTAATGCCTCAAATATCTATCTTTATGTGTTCCATTTCATTTTTCACAGCTTCCAGTTTTCCTAGATTCATACTCTGTCCACCCCATGCTCCATTTTCTAATGAATGCTTACACTTGTTTCTTCTTATATTAAGTCGTGCCACATCAGCAAATGAAGGTCCAGAAATCCTTACTCCATCATGTCTTTCAGGTCTCCTCTACTCTGAAGAGTCAGCTCTTCCTCAGCGTATGTTGAGTAGATTCCAACCTGAAAAGCTTATCTTCAAGCACTATGTTAGATAGTGTTTCCTTGATATTCATAAGGTTTTCAATTTGTTTTTTCCACAAGTGAACCTGGACATATTCTTCATAGTCTCTTAGTCTGAAAGCTCCACTAAAACCTGTCCACTCTGAGTGATTCTTCTAGTATTTGAAATACTGGTGTCATGTGTCTAGCATCACAGGAGCACACAAGCCACCATAGTATGACAAACTGACAGATAAGTGGTAGAGCCCAACTCTAGATGAGAGGAATTTCAGAGACCTTGTGACATGTGTGGCCATTTTAAATTCACCACAATAACTTAAATAGTCTTATTTATTAAAATTATAGTTGCTAGATATCTTAAAAGCATCGTTACTAGCTATAACTTTTCTTAGAAAAATAAATAAAAAGTTAGGTGTTTAATACAGGCTATATGGCCTAATACAGCCTTTCTATAAAGGACCAGATAGTAAATAATGTAATCTTTGTGAGCCATATGGTCACATACTTAGTTTGTAAAAATAGAAAAAAGTCAGATTTCTATAGTTAAGGTCCTGGAGTACAGAGTTATTAATAAGTTAAAGTAAGAAAAGATTTGCTTCCAGAATGTTTATTTTATATGGGTGACCTCCCGCCAAAAAAAGTTGAATAAAGGATAAACACTTTAAGGATTGAAATAGTATCAGTTATTTCTGAGTTCCGGTAAGATGGTGGAATAGACAGAAGGACTGCACAGACCCTCGTCAACAAAGAGAAGGGGAGCCAATTAACACAGATACAGAAGATAATTCTGGAGCCTTGAGCCTTGAAAGGAAGGATATAGACGTGGACTAAACTCCAACTAGTAGAAGAATTTGCATGAAAACACCAAAAAAGGAGAATACGGAGCTGCATTCTGACAGGGACCCTGATGGCACAGACAGCTTGGATATTGCCAAGTGGTGTTAGGACCTACGAATTAACCTAAAAATCAGCCCTCCTAGCCAGGGACTGCACAGGGGACTGCACTGCTG